TCTTCCCCTCCCACATATCCCTCCGCCCCCGCCAACCCCCTTCAACTTCCCTCAGGGACTCTTCCCCCCGATATCCCTGCACTCCCCCACTGACCCCCACCTCCTGTCAACTTCCCTCAGGACTATTTCCCCTTCCAGATATTCCTGCACCACCTTCTGCCCCCCTGCCCAGGTACTATTCCCCCCCCAATCTCCCTGTGCCCCCTGTTTGTTCCCCCCAAGACACCCCTCCCCAGATATCCCTTCACCACCCCCAGCCCCAATATCCTTCAACTCCTCAGGGACTATTTCTTCCTCACGGCCTCCCCCCCCCCATATCCCGCCGCCTCTCCCCTGGTCCCCCCCCCGTACCGGTGAACTCCTTCCGGCACTGGTCCCCCACGCTGACCTCCAGGGTCTCCAGCTGCACCAGAACCTTCTTGTAATCCCGCAGGGCCTGCTCGCTCTTCCGCCTGCGGGGGCGCCGTTAGCCGGCGGCAGGAGCAGTAGGGTGTTATCCTCGGACGCTGGGGGAGGGGTATCTGTGCTACAGGGATACGGGGAGGGGGTACCTCACCCAGTGTGGGGGAGCACGGTGGAAGGAACCCCCCCAATTGCTGAATGCTCCTCCCCCAGCAGCACTAGTAGGTTATCTTCTGGTGGGTTAGGTGTGGGACACAATGCTTTGCCCATGGTGGGGGGAAGGCAGAGTGGAAAGAACCCCCACAAAAGCTGATTTTCCTGCCCCCTCCCCATTCCCCAGCAGCAGCAATAGACTGTTACCCCCTTCCTCCTACCCAGAAGCAGTAGGCTGTTTCCCCCCCTCACCCAGCAGCGACAGTAGGCTGTTACCCCCCACCACCTGGCAGCGGCAGTAGGCTGTTTCCCCCCCTCACCCAGCAGCGGCAGTAGGTTGTTTCCCCCCCTCACCCAGCAGCGACAGTAGGCTGTTACCCCCCACCCCCGGGCAGCGGCAATAGGCTGTTACCCCACACCCGCCAGCAGCGGCAGTAGGTTGTTTCCCCCCCTCACCCAGCTGTGGCAGTAGGCTGTTACCCCACCCCTGCCAGCAGCGGCAGTAGGTTGTTTCACCCCACCCCTGGCAGCGGCAGTAGGCTGTTACCCCACACCCGCCAGCAGCGGCAGTAGGCTGTTTCCCCCCCTCACCCAGCTGTGACAGTAGGTTGTTTCCCCCCCTCATCCAGCTGTGGCAGTAGGCTGTTACCCCAGCAGCAGTAGGTTGTTTCACCCCACCCCCCGGCAGCAGCAGTAGGCTGTTATCCACCCACACACCTGTACATGAGGATGAGGAGCAGCACAATGAAGGCCAGCAGTGCCGCCCCCACCCCCAGCCCAACTTGCGCCTCGGGGGGAAAGCGGGTGGTCGGCTCCGTGTCATAGTGAACCCGGCCCAGCTCCAGACGCAGGTTCCCCATCTGCACCTGGGGAGGGGGGGAGGACACACACGGGGGCGTCAGGGAGCAGAGAGAGCCCCTCCCCCACACCACCCATCTCCACCTGGGGGGAGAGGACCAGGGCCCCACCTTCCCCCCAACTCCTGCCCCCTCCCCCCACCTGAGAAAGGGGCCAAGGCCCCCCCAAACCTCCCCCTCCCTCCACTTCCCTTGCAGCCCCTCCCCCCACCTGAGAAAGGGCCCAGGCCCCCCCAAACCTCCCCCCTCCACTTCCCTTGCAGCCCCTCCCCCCACCCGAGAAAGGGCCCAGGCCCCCCCAATCTGCCCCGCACTCACGATGAACTCTGGCAGGCCGGAGGAGGCGTTGAGGGGCCGGGGGGGGCGCAGGGGGGGCTCGCAGTACAGATGGGTGCGGGTCAGGGTCTTGACGGTGCAGAGCCCCTCCCCCACCCACACCAGCACCTCCTCCTTGGAGATCCCCAGGGTCAGCCCATCCCCCTGCAGGGACAGACAGACAGAGAGCTGGGGGGGTCCCCTCCCGTGGCCCCCCCTCCACGCCCCCCCCCAGGCATCCCCCCCCGCTAACTCCCCTCCCCGACCCCACCCCTCCAGCCCCACCCCTTTCCCTAGCCCCTCCCCAGGCATCCCCCCCGCTAACTTCCCTCCCCAGGCCCCACCCCTCCTTCCCTGCATCTCCCCCGCCCACAATCCACCCTCCAGCCCACCCTTTCCCTAGCCCCTCCCCGGGCATCCCCCCACTAACTTCCTCCCCAGCCCACCCTTTCCCTAGCCCCTCCCCGGGCATCCCCCGCTAACTCCCTCCCCGACCCCACCCCTCCTTCCCTGCATCTCCCCCCGCCCCGCAATCCCTCCCCTGCAGCCTCACCCCTTCCCCCAACCCCCGTCCCGCAGCCCCACCCCCACCCTGGAGCCCTCCTCTCCCCTCACCTCCACGTGCAGCACATTCCCCGGCTTGAGGCTGTAGGGGGCGCCGGGGGCCCCGCGGCCCAGCCAGCGCAGCTGGGGGTCGGGCGTATAGGCGAAGGGCTGCCCCCCACTGGCCACCGCGAAGCTGAGCCGTACCCCGTCCAGCACGAAGAGCAGGTCCCGCAGGGGTGCGCCGGGGGGCACGGCCGGCGTAGGGCACAGCATTAGCGCCGAGGAGTTGGGGCAGCAGGGCTCCCAGCACTGGGGGGGGCGCAGCGGGTCAGAGCCATGGGGGGGCAGCCATCAGCCCTCTCCCAGGCCCCAACCCGCCAGGCCAGTCACAGATACCCTCTGGCCCCCCTATACCTCAGCCCCCACTCCCGCTCCCCGGCTCACCTCCAGCAGGTCCCCCACCATAAAGCAGGGGCGTGGGGGGGTCGGCAGGGCCCGGGGGGGCCCCCAGCACCCCCTCTTCTTCCTCCTGCTCCCCCTGCTGCCATTCGGCCCCCCCGGCACCAGCAGGGCCTTGATAAGCGGCTGCTGCACCACGTCCAGGTGGGTGCCTTCCACGCGGATGATCCGACCGCCCCTGCGAACCCAGGAGTCCGGGTGAGTCAGGGGAAAAGGGCTGGAATCTACTTGTCAGCTGAGGGCACTGCAGGGGGGAAGCTCGCAGCGCTGGGGGTGACCCCGCTTGGGAGCACTGCTGGGGGAAGCTCGCACCCGCCCCCCCCCGCGTCGCTTACCCCCGGAAGCTGGTGGCCGGCTCTGCCCCGGTGATGTTGGGGTTCGGGGTGTAGGTGAAGGTGCCCCCCTGCAGGCGGCGCTCTGTCTGTCCGTACAGCACCCGCACGGATGCCTCCCGCGGCTCCGGGCTGGGGCTGGTCATGCACACAATGGCCGTGGGCTCCACGGGGGCCACTCTGAGTGGGGGGGACAGAGAGTGGTTAGCCACGGGGGGCAGAACTATTGGGGAGCGGGGGGCGAGCCGGGGGGTGGGAGGGCTCACATGGTACAGGGCAGCTCTCCCACGAAGGCTGCGATCTGGTCGCCCGTCAGCAGCTCCTCCCCTAGGATGGTCAGTCGGGTGCCCCCTGCCATGGGGCCCATCCTGGGGTGCAGCTCCCGCAGGGTGGGGTCCTGGCGGGGGGAGGGAACCCGTTACAGGAGAAAGGGCACTGCTGGGGGGAAGCTCGCAGCACTGGGACAGACTGAGCTGGGGCACTGCTGGGGGAAAGCTCACAGCGCTGGGACAGACCGAGCTGGGGCACTGCTAGGGGGAAGCTCTCAGCGCTGGGATAGACCCAGCTGGGGCACTGCTGGGGGAAGCTCACAGCGCTGGGACAGACTGAGCTGGGGCACTGCTGGGGGAAAGCTCACAGCGCTGGGACAGACCCAGCTGGGGCACTGCTGGGGGAAGCTCACAGCGCTGGGACAGACTGAGCTGGAGCACTGCTGGGGGGAAGCTTGCAGTGCTGGGACAGACCCAGGTGGGGCACTGCTAGGGGGAAGCTCGCAGCGCTGGGATAAGCCTGGTTGGGGACACGGCTAGGGGAAGTTCGCAGCAGCCACAGAGAGAGGGCTCCTGCCCCTCCCCCCGTGTCTGCCCACCCCTCACATCATGAGTCCAGCACCCCAAGCGCCCCCGGTCCCAGCCCACGCTGACCTGGTAGGTGAAGTGGTCGGCAGAGATGCCGGGGGGCCGGTTCCCCACGGTGACCTCAACGGGGCCAGAGACGCCCCTCTGCCCTAGAGAGACCCGGCACACGATCCTGTGGGGGGGAGAAGGGGCACTGCTGTGGAGAAGCTCGCAGCGCTGGGGAATACTGTTGGGGGGAAGCCTGATACCCCGTACCCCGATGTGACACCCTGCGCCCCATGTTCCCAACTTTTACATGGTGACAACACGTGTTGTGTAGTGTTTGCCTTGTGACGTATCATTTGCAAACTCGTAATCTGCTGAACATCATTGTCCTGTTCAGCTGCGGTGACATTGCCATGTGCCCAATTAGGAGACTGGTAGTGCCAAAAGTCCCCTGGCTGTCCCAGGCCGGTGTCAGTGCCGGGCAGGGGGCGGTCGCTTCTTTCGAGAGCGCGGATCTCACCTACCCGTCGCTGACCCCCACAGGGCGAGCGCACACCGAGATGGGCTGTCGGGCCGCGCGTTCCTCCCGGGGCCGTACGGAGCAGAGGGCTGGCATCCGCGGCACCCGGGTGTCGTGCCACGCGTTCTTCCCGGGGCCGTACGGAGCCGAGGGCCGGCGTGCGCGGCGCCCAGGTGTCGGGCTGGAGGGTTTGGGGAACTGCTACTCGGGCCAGGACGGACCCTCTGTGGCTTGGACGGGGCCATTGACCGGGACAAGATGCGCACTTCTGGGGGGCTGGGGGCACTGCTGGGGGAAGCTCGCAGCGCAGGGGCGGGGGCACTGCTGGGGGAAGCTCACAGCACGGGGCGGGAAGTGGGGCTGGGGGAAGCTCGCAGCGTGGGGCGGGCAGGGTGACGGGGTCACTGCTGGGGGAAGCTCGCAGCGCGGGGGCGGGTGCACCCCTTACCGTCTGGAGACGCGGTAGAGGGTGGGGTCGGGGGTGCAGGGCCGGCCGGCCGCCCGCACCGACCCCACGTCCGCCAGGCGCCGGCCCAGGTTGGAGCCCGTGATGGTGAGGGACACGCCCCCTTCCAGGGGGCTGCTGTGGGGCTGGATCTGGGGGGAGGCAAAGTTACCCCCAGCCCGGCACCCCCCAGTCCAACTTCTCCCCCCACCCACTTCCCCCTGCTCTCGCCCCACAGCCCAACTGCTCCCCCCGCCTGCCCCCCTGCCCTCTCCCCCCAGTCCAACTTCTCCCCCCGCCCGCATGGCCACAGGCCAGTGTCCGTGCCCCCCTGTGCCCCAGCCCGGCATTACCCCTGGGCCCCCATCAGACCCACTGTCCCGCCAGCCCAATATCCCCCCCCCTCGTCCCAGTCTCACCGCCTGGATGATGGGGGTGGGGCAGAGGGGCTCGGCGGCGCCGGGGGGGCAGAGGTCCCGGAAGCGGCAGCCGGGACCCCCCCCGGCCGGGCACCAGACACAGCCCAGCTCCGGGGGGGCTGCCAGGCAGTGGCTGCAGTCGGCCCGCCCCACGGAGCAGTTGTAGAGGGTCACTGGGGGGGGGCCGAAAAGGAGATCAGCAGTGTCCCAGCCCCAGCCCCCTCCCCACTCCGAAGCTCACTGTGCCCCCTCCCTGCCCCACAGGGCACTGCCACGGGGAAGCTCGCAGCGCCCCCACCCGCCCCCAGGGCACTGCCGCAGGGAAGCTCGCAGCGCCCGCTCCCAGGGCACTGCGTGGGGAAGCTTGCAGTATCCCCGCCCCGCCCCCCAGTGCATAGCCGTGGGGAAGCTCGCAGCGCCCGCTCCCAGGGCACTGCCACGGCGAAGCCCGCTGCGCCCCTGCCCCGCCCCCCCACGGGCACTGCCACAGGGAAGCTCGCAGTGTCCCTGCCCCGCCCCCCAGGGCACTGCCACAGGGAAGCTCGCAGTGTCCCTGCCCCGCCCCCCAGGGCACTGCTGCGGGGAAGCTCGCAGCACCTGGTCACTCACCCTGCAGGTCCCCCCGGTTGTCCAGGCGCCCCGCGCCCCCTGCGGAGACGTAGAGGGGGGCTGGGATCTGGGGGTGGGGCAGGAGGTAGCTGTATATGTGGGGGTGGCACCGGACCCGCTGGGCCCCCCCCTCCTCATCCAGCGACGCCTCCACCGACACGGGTGCCCCCCCCACCTCCACCATGCAGCGCAACCGTGGCAACGGGTCCTGCGGGGGAGGGGGTGGAGAGTGAGACCAGGCCTGACCCCGCCCCAACAGCCCAGTGTAACCATGGCAACGGGGCCTGTTGGGGTGGGGGAGAGAGTGAGCCCAGCCGGCCCCCCTGACTCCACCCACTGCCCCACCCCAACATCCCCTGCCCCCCAGTGCCCCCCAGTGCCCCCCACTCACCCCCAGAAGCTGCAGGTTGTAGGCCACCAGGCTCAGGGGCACGGCCACCCCCACGGGCACCAGGGGGGACCCCTCGATGACCCCCAGGCTGGGGCAGGCCTCCGGGCCCCAGGGGCCCCCCTCCCGGACCTGCGGGCAGAGGGGGTTAGACTGGGGGAGCAAGCTGGAGGGAAGCGCGGGTGGGGCCGTCCCGGACGCCTGGGTCCCCTTCCCCATCCCCCAACCCTGACATGCCATCCCGGATGCCTGGGTCCCCTTCCCATCCCCCACCCCACCCCCGAGATGCCATCCCGGATGCCTGGGTCCTCTTACCCGAGGCCCTCTCCCCACGAGATGCTGTCCTGGATGCCTGGGTCCCCTTCCCCATCCCCCACCCCACCCCCGAGATGCCATGGCCCTCTTCCCCGTCCCAGGGGCGAGTCCCTCACGTTCTGGTTGTAGATGGTCCCTTCGCCGTGGGGGCAGGACGCGCCCGGGACGCAGCTCTGACTCCTCGGGCACCAGTGACAGGGCCAGGGGCTGCTCACGCACCCACCGCACCTGGGGGCAGGGGGACGAACTGGGGTCAGCACAGGGCCAGGACCCCCCCCAGCGCTGCCGGCGCCCCCACTCCCGACCCACAGCCCCTGCCAGCCCTGCCCCCCACCACCCCTGCCGGCGCCCCTCACTCCC